TGCAACCACATGTGACACGACGCACATAAACGCGCACGTTGCAAAGAGGTTGATCCATCGTCGCTGCCGCCTTTGCCGCCACCACCACCACCATCATCTCCCGTCGTATTTATCTTGCCTGGTATCTTCAGAGCCTCAAGAGGCGCACGTAGAGAAGATGTCATCTCAGAAATGGTTCAGCGGCAGCCTCTATCTCAGCAACGCACACCGTTCCAACGTTTCGACTGACTTCCACTAGATTGTTGCCTCCGTTTTTTTCAAGAATGTAATGCTACTTGACTGAAGTCTGGCATTTTCTATATCACAGGCTTCTAGAGGTGTCAAAGTTTGTGAGAACCTCGTAGAGAAGGCCCCTTTAACGTGTGAGGGATTCACACAACAAACGACTTGAGCAGTAGCAAAGCGGCCAATGTCGCCACACTGATTTAACCGCTCAAAAATATCCGGCAAAGAGGACGATTTAAACAAACACCTGAAAAGAATAAGCTGCAATTAGAATCACAAATTCACGCTGACTGAACGGGTAGAAAGCATTAATGAGCGGGTAGCAAGTAATTTTGTTTAAATCGCAGCATCTAGAATGCATTTTACTGTGATTTGTGAACACTCCTACAAATGTACAACGTCTATTATAATTTGGGTCTTCCTTTGGGGAGAATCACCCTTTCCGTGAAATTGGCGTACTTGTGCCTTTTTTAAAAATAGATTCATATCGACCGCCCTCATTTTATTGGCTAGTCTTCCTCAGTCGTTGTTAAGACCAGCAGAACCATGTATAATTGTAGGAAAGATAGGATTTTGCAGTCAACTTTATCTCAATTAAAATCACAAGCCCTCCACCTTCTTATTCGTGAAGAGAGCAAAAACAATTTTGACAATTGAGTCGACTTTGCGAATGCGAGTCTCTTTTGAGTTCCAAAACACACTTTTCTAACAAACCCTGGCGCCTTAAAACGCATAAGCGCGAAGAAATTGAATTGGTGATGCATTTAAACACGCGGTTTGAGCTGGCCCGGCCTTGATGGTAGTTTAAACAAGAGACACAAAGCCAACATTTGAAAAGTCATTTTTGCGATGAAAAACCGTAAATGCAGTTATCTGAAGCGGTTGATTTTGAGTCATTTTCTACCGCGTTTGTCCTAGTTCATACCTTTGTCCTCATTAAAGCAAAATCAATATAATTTTTGCGATATTACTTACTCAACAGAAAATCCGACCCTGAAACGGTATTGACGATCCCGTTTCCAAGATATTTCAGCGAAAAATTAACTGTCATCATTCTCTTCAGCCTACTGAAATCCATTTTTTTCGAATCATAGCTTAAATTCATCATTTTGGTGTAACTAACTAATGTATGAACGACGATATAATCTTTTTAATTTTAAAATTGTTGCCATCGATCTCAAATTTCAGCGATATCATTTGCCAATGAAGCATCCGAATTTAAACGTAAACTTGCCGCCAAAAAGATCCAATCACAAGTTGGTTAAGTGTGCTCAGCATGGAGTTCGTTGGTTGTAAAATATCGAGGCAATTTTAAAGTAGTCGAGATTCCGTTTCAACCTCACCGTCTTACTTTACGACTCTGAATTCGCATTTTCCATCGTTTTATTGCGTCTGGAATTTTATGACGAGACAAGAAAGCAAAAATTGATGCTTCTGATTGTGGACTTTTGGTTGTACTTTTAGACTTTTGCAATAAACTGTTCGTTTTGTGCGAAATCGAAATAAAATACAAAATAATCTTAACATATATCGCAAAAAATCCCTGTATAACCAATAACATTTTGATACTTTATTGAATCAAATTTGGAGTATATGCCGCCAATTCAGTCAAGTGTTTGTTTTTGCTAATGGATTTGTTAAAATTTAAAAACTGCGGCAATGCAATTAACTCCCATCCACGTAAACACGTTAAAAGCTAACTGCGTATTAACCACCAATAAAAATCATGCTGCCGATGCTGTTCTCCGAGTGGTCATCTAATCAGCTAGCATGACGCAAAACCATCAGCTCTAATTCGTTTTTTTACTTTGATTCCCAGTGGGTGGACTGGTGGGCCATCCAATCAGATTCAACATGGTTTTTGTGACGGCTGATTGGTCGATGAAGGTATTCATTTATGTACAGAAGTCTGTGTTATTAAAAAGAGCAAATGTCATTAATCAATTCAATTTTAAGCTCAAGTCGTCGGTTCTTAAAACTAGAGACAGATTGGTTAAAATTGGGCAGGATGACCAGTGATGAATCTGATCACACTAAGTCAAGTTTTACCGTTTATCAAGTTTGGCTTTTTTCAAACTGCATTCAAACGTGACGTGTTTACGACGTGTGTGTGTGTGTGTGTGTGTTATCGTAATTTAGCGAGAAAGCGACTTTCATTGTGTAGGAAAGCGGTTTGCTGTTGGTGCGCCCTGATTGGTCAATCGCCAAGCGAATCAAGAATCGTTGATGTGCGCCCCATTACGTGTAGTCATGTGGCGAGGGGTTTACAACGTTACAACACTGAACAAGTAGAAGGTGAGTGCTTGGCAAACTTTGGGTGAATTGTCAAAAAACAAAGATTTATGAATCCGTAGCTCACTTCAATCTGTACACGGGCCAGACATTCAAGTGCCTGCTGGAGCTTATTCCTTAGTGCTTGATTTTATCGAAAATCGATAAACCGATGATGCTATAGAGGCATGGACACGCCAATATTATTCTTGAATTTTATAAAAATGAAGGAGAACCATTCATTCAATTGGTTATTTGAGTTGCGTCCTCCACATTCACATTAAACTAATTCGAGGTATTTTTATTCAAGGACATAACGCTGATTGGTTTTTTCTGACAAGGTCGCTGAAAAAATGCACCTACTTCAATTTATTGACCATTCATACGAAGTTAAATGGTTTTGAACAGCGATAAGTTTAGTGTGCGGAATTTTTGTGATTCAGCAACAAATGCACAGCGGGGAAATATTTGTACCGAGGTTTAACTGCTGTCATATTAAGTTCAAAGGCAAAAGTAACATTTCTGAAGTCGTTTTTATTGTCGTCCTAAATCTAAATGACCGAGGCAAGAAATCTCTTTTTCTGCGAACCAAATAAGCATTTGCATATTTTTTTAAAAAAATATTATTTTCCAATTCAAATTACTAAGCAACTTGATAGTTGGAAGCTGATTCATCTGTTTTTTTTGTATGTCTTGAAAAAGCCTACTTTTCGGAGTTGCTTTAGTTTTTTTCTGCGAAATATAAAATTTTGACATTATACTAAAAAGAATAGCTTTTGATTGGCCAATCACACAGTCGTGTTGCCTGTGGCCCAAATCATCCTGGACGGAATCTGGTCCAAAGGGCGGCATTCACGGAGAGCCACATATTTTTGTTTATCTATGCTAACGGTATCGCCTTACACCTGACGGAATAATTAAAAATGAATAACATCACTCTACTTATTCTGATCAATAGAATTTTCGTCCCCACTCGACCTTGAGAAGTCAATATCGATTGGTTAGTAGAAATTTCTGAACTGTTTCGCTGTTCAGCCTTCCAGGCAGAGCGAATCTGATTACAGGAAACATTGAAAGTCCAGTTGCTGGCAGAAGTTGTAAATCCATTTTTATGTGTTCTAAATTAAAATCTAGTAACTTTCTCGTCACGCATGAAATACCCGATTTTCTTTGATTAGATTTGACAAAAATGACAATGATTTGCACAGATGCACGGAAATTCACAGCAATGTAATTAAATTCAAACGTAACTTCACTATTTTTTATTTCACCTGGATGAAGTCATTTATTTTGTTAAAACACATGACCTTGTAAACCGATTCATCCTTTTTGGGAATTTGACCTTGAGTTGGTCCCAAGGGGTTACAAAATTTAAATTCCCTCTATCTTGCAACTGTAGGCGCTGGCTCTTTTGTTTGTCTTAAGTGAAATCTTAAAATCGCCGCCTACGGTTTTCCCCTTTCTTACTCTTCTTGGACTAACTTCCCCAAAATCAAATGTATATTTTTTTTGACAGTCGCTTAGGATTTAAGACCAATCTGCACCTACAAATGTGTGCAAGATCCTTATGAAGGCCTCCTTTTCAAGTAAAGGTTTTAAAATTCCCGATGTGACCTTGAATCGACCAATAGAAAATCAGGCTTTTGGTCAAATCGACAATCATTGGTTAACACAAATTGTGACTTTTAAATCTGTCCATGCTCTCGTTTTGTTTGTGATTGAGCAAATTGGCGCAAGAATGCTTGAAGCGCGTTATGTTTAATTTTAGTTTTGAGTGAAATTGAAAAAGGACAGCTGCTAAATTTGCTGAATTAAAAAGCATCAGTCGCACGTGATTTATTGATTTTTTTATTTCAGTGTCTGTAACATCGTTGAGCGCATTGCAATCGATGAAAAACTCGTGGTTTAAATGAATCAAATATGCTTTAATCCAATTGGCGTCCAGTTTGATGTATCTTACAAAAATGTAGATGGGCACATTTTCTTCGTATTTGAAGTCAAGACGGCATAGACACACAATAACGTCAGAAGTGTGTTCAAAAGACGTGCCAAAATGCTGACTTCCAGTAGCATTTAGTACGAGAGAGCTCATTATGGTACTGCCTGAATATCATCTCATTTAAACAAATTTAAACAAGACCAAACAATTTTTCACAGCGTCGTGATGATTTCCGATTCTTTTTACTTGTCGACCATTTCTGCCTTATTTGAGTAGATGAAAATGTAAGGATGCATGCAAAATTAGCATTATACTTCGTTTATCGTAAATATCTTATTGATACCATGGAAATAAGTTATTTATTTTTATCCTGGGTGTGTACAGGCTCTCTAAGTGTCACGCATTCATGTCATTTATGAGACAAACTGCATATTTTACGCAGCCGCTAATTTATGCATCGACAACAACAGAACTTTGTGGATATTTGTAGCCAATTATTCGTACATTACTTCATTTTTTCGTATTTTTAGCTAAATATTACAATGCCTTTTTATCACGTCCGTAGCTTGCAAATCTGTACCCAATCGCTTTCACAGGCTTTTTCTTTCGTGCGCTTTGATTGGTCTGTTGACGAGGTCGACCATAGTCTCGACCAATGGCTTTCAAGCGGTCTTTTAAAAGCTGAAAGTCGTCAAATTGTGGTTAAAATTTCAAAACCTGATGTCCTAGGTGACGTGACGTGCTGAATTTCACTGAGAAATTTGTGAATTGCAACTGCTTAAGCAGTTTTGAACCAGCGGCACTTTTGCCTGATTGCAGATTTCTCTGGAATGTCAAATGAAACTGATGATTACCGCCAGTTAGCCAAGGTTTGCATGAACGAGCGCTACTGGCCCTACTACGTGGCCTCCATTCTTGCCTCGTTCTTCGGTGGCCTAATCTTCATTCTCACGTACCGCGCTTTCCGCAAAATTATCGCCTGCTTGTCGAAGCAGCGCCAAATCGCCCGCGTCAACCAAGGGGACTGGCATCCAAGGAGTTCCAACGTCTTCCTCGACGTTCCGACCAGCACCTCTCAGCACTCCGGGCTGAATGTAACCGCGGCCTTGAGACAACCCCCCTCCATGAAACACCGCCTCAGCAGTGGTAGGATTGCGATCTGTTTGACTTAATCAACCAATCAAATTCATCACACACGCAGCCATAGTTAACTACATTTAACCATTTACGCTATTTGAAGTTAACCAGCAGCTAGAACCAACTGCTATCATAATTTGATTCGCGTTCATTCGAATCGACGCAATGGAGAAAGGTAACAGTTGTGAAACCAGTTTCTTGCGTCAGTCGAAAAAAATTTTGTTAGCTGCGATAAATCTAATGTCCCGTTGTACGAGACACTTGGGCACAGTCGTGTAGGAGGGGGGAAGAAATGACCTTGAAATGGCATGAACACTGCGTCTTTTGTTACTGTGGCTGATTTTAGTTGAGGGCTAATTAAAAACGTGCCGGCCACGAAACCAAATGAGGCCAACTTCAACTTCATTTTGAAAGGTTTTGGTGACAAAAATGACAATTCAATAAAACATATCCCAAATGTTCATTCTCACACATCACAGCTTAAAATGAAGCCGGGAGCGAGGCAACTTTGCGCCAGGAAACCGAGCTTCAGTTCGGAGAAACAGACTATTTCGTCGCCTGCGTGCCAGTTCCACGTTGGAATGTTGAGGATGTGCGACTGTACACATAGCAATCCACGACAAAATGGTCATTTTGTGAGTTCGAATTCATAGGCATGCGCTCTTAACGATTGCAATCCGTGCAAATCGGTGTTAGAACCTGCTTTTTGAACACTCGGAAAAAAGGAATTTGAGCTGTTTTGATTGTGGGTTGTGAAAAACTTGCGACAATTTCCGCAAATATCTCAAACCAACCCACTGCATTTACATCATCAACAATGAGCCAATCAGATGGGGGCGGTCAATATGAATATGAAAACTGGTGTGCAAGACGCTGAACTAATTTGTCAGTCCCACGAAGTGGATAGAATCATGGAGATTCCTGATGTACTGAAAATAATATATTGCATTTTGGATGGAATAATTTGGTAATGCGTCCTAGATACCAGCGTCGTGGAAGCGTACAACCGCGATGACTAGGTAAACACCCAATTTGATGCGTGCACCCGCGTTTCACAAGGAATTCCCTTCATCCTTGATCAATCCAGGGTTTTACAGAAGACCAGCGCAGTTGTCAACTCTCAATATTTCTGGTTACTTTACCTGCTACCAGTGACCTTCAACTACGTCCAGAGTATGCTACACGATGTGCTCGCTTGACTCGCAAGGATGACAATCCACTTAGTCATGATTGGCTCATTTGAAATTTCACTTAACCTTGAAATGAGTTTTGGCGAATAATCTTGCATGGACCATCCAGGAACGGAGTGTCCAACTTGGGGACAATCCGCGTTGGCGGTGGCCACTGCGTGACCTTGAAATCACATTCACGCCACGCTTTCTGTTACCGTGGTTACTTTTTACGAGAGTTAATTAAAAAAAACCAGTTAGCCAAACTTCCGTTACATGTTGAAGTGTGCTGGCAACGAAATTATTTTTGCTATTTTGTCCCAAATGTGCATTTTCACACATCATAGCTTACAGTGAACTCCGAACTAACATCAAGAGAAATTTGTTTCAGCAGATGGCGCTCACAAAATGTTGAAGGAAGGAAATCATTAAAAAAATACCAAAGAAAGTCCATCCCAGTCACCAACTTGCTCCACCCTCACAGAAGACTACACGATGCTTCCGCATGATTCGCCAGGTTAACTGACCACTTAATTATGATGATATGACCTCGGGCTGACCTATAGACGAGTGGTCCTGCATGTACAACCCGTGGACACTTCGATATTGGTGATTTTCACAACAACACCACACACCACATTTCCGCTTCACCTATGAAAATGGTTCGAAATAATTGCCGATTCATTTAACAACAAACAAACAGACTCCACATTCACGGACCTCTGCCTGACAAGTTAGAGTCATTGCGTATTCGAGGTTTGCGTCACTAGTCAACGTGCGTCGTACATCCACCGCCAAATCCTTCCACAGACATCATGTGACAGTTGAATCGTCGAGTTCACAATTTGACAGGGTTGTTGAGGCATGTTACGAGGTCACTTCGGAGGTGAGTTCGTTTGACAGACATTGCAACGACCGGTCTAATTTCATGGACTGTATGCGGCATGGAAACCAGGCGAATTGCATCACAAGGCATGGTCATGCACACAACGTACGCAAAACACACGAGAAATTGCAGGATTTCGGCTGGTTGCTTCGGTGTCATTTACTGCAATTTTCCCACCGGCCTTGTAATTTATATTCATGTTTCTCTGGCATTCGAGAATGCTTTAATGGATAACAACCACCGATACTGGAACCCCTTCAGAAGGCACTTCAACCACAGCTAAACATTGTCGAGGTGACGTGCAAGCGGTGGCCACTTGTTTCCCTAAAATGACTGTTGCAACACCCCCGTAATGCTGAGTAAATCATGGGCCCCAATAAGCAAACAACCATTAACCAATCAGATCCCAAATTGTGCGGTGTCGTCAAAAATCGATAAAAAAAATCGTCAAAAATCTTAAACCGCATTCTGTGTGGAGCTGAATCCAAAAAAACAGGGATTGTGTTTCTGGTAACCTGCTACCTATCTAAAGTTGATAGAAAATGAGTTTCCAGAACCACTAAAAGATCATTTTTACTATGGTGGGCTAAAATTGTTTTTTTTGCCGATGCAACCTGACTTCGGAACAATGACTCGATTCTACAAAACGTGGATTTTGCCGATTTGAAAACGAGATAATTTGCATTTTCTAAAACATTTCTGCTTACTTTGTGGTAAAGTTTTGTGATATCTGTGGTAATTTCAATCATTCATGTGATATTACAATGTTTACTACGATACCTATTAATGCAACAGGCACAAATACCTAACGATTTTGCATTTACAATGCAAACACTGAGAATTAACCAAAGCTGATCTGGAATTTACAAAAAAAAATTTTCAATGGCGTGTAAAAGTTGTCTTAAGTGACTTATGATTAGTACTTTCGAAAAAATGCAACGTGTCAATGGGTGTCCTTATAGTACATCAAGTTCCGTTCCATAAATTATTGATTAATATCCGCAGAAACTTCCAAACACACATTTGGCACATCGGCCATTAGCTAAAATTGGCACCTACGTGCAACATTGACGCCTATTGGCTGAAATTTATATCTGCGCGCGATTTCATCACCTCATTAAAACCACATATTTACCATCGGACAGAGGCTCACCTT